GTCTGAAGGGTTTGCGATCCGACAACGGAACAGAGTTTGTAAAGAAGACAATGGCTGGCATGTACCAGCGTTCCGTTCCATATAGCCCTCAGCAGAACGGAGTGGCAGAGCGTATGAACAGGACAATCATGGAGAAGGCCAGGAGTATGTTGCATTACAAGGCCGTTTCGACCGAATGGTGGGCGGAAGCAGGGAATACGGCGGTTCATCTAATTAACCGCTCCCCCAATACAGCCCGTCCTGATATCACGCCGTACGAGTTGACTTTCAAGGTGAAGCCTTAAATGGATTACTTGCGTGTGTTTGGCTGGCAAAATTTACGCACAGAGGAAGAAGTGAACTGGTGCTGATGTTAAGGAACGGTTCAGATGATGATGTGTCAAGACAAAGCAGTGATGGTCCACCGAATCCAAAGCGTGCTAGGATTGATGAAGATGGACTAATTGCAGAAGCTGTTATCGCTTACGCCGTGAGCATGGAGGACGACACCGATTTTTCGACTACGCATGCTTAAGCAATGGCAAGCGACGATGCAGGAAAGTGGCGTGAAGCAATGGACACTAAGCTTTGCTCTCATAAAGAGAATCAAACGTGGACATCAAATCATGAGGGAGGATTAGTCACACAATCCGATCACGATGGGGGGTTTGCGAAGAAGCGTGATCAGAATGGCGCTATCGTGCGGTACAAGTTACGACTTCTCGCAACAGATTTCAAGCAGAAGTATGGCGTCGATTTCCTTAAACTTATTCCTCGGTTGCCAGCATGTTTCAATCCGGATAGTATTAGCAGTATACGCGGAGTGTAATCAAACGGAACAGCTGGATGTCGACACGGCTTTTCCCAACAGCGTGTTGACGGACAACGATTTTATGGAAGTCCCGATTGGTGTCCACAAGGCTCACTGTGACGTGTGACAGCTGAACAAGGCTATTTACGGATTTAAGCAAGCCGTAAGTGCCTGGAACAAGACAATACATCGTGCCTCTGCGGCGAATGGCTTCAGGAGCTGTGGAGCGGACCAATACGTTTATGTCAAGAGCTCCCAGGAAAGTTTCGTCTACGTTGGACTCTATGTGTATGATATGATAATTGCAGCAAGAACCAACAAGGAGATCAATTCGGTGAAGGAAGTGCTCAAGAATGCTTTCAATATGAAAGAGTTGGACAAGGCGAAGAGTAGTTCGAGCATGAAAATATACCACGACAGGTCAGCTGGGACGCTTACGATCTAGCAGACCCGATATATCGACGACGTGGTCAGTCGATTTGGTCAACAAGATGCCAAGAACGTAGATAACCCGTGCGTATCAGTATTATAGTTGTCGTCGTCACATCCACTATAACGGAAGATGTGCGTTCGACAATTGGCACGAAGCCATATCAATCTTTGATTGGTTGTCTATTGTACATTACGACATGCGCTCGACCGGACGTTGCGTACGTGATTACGCAGCTTTCACGTTTTCTGGAGAACCCTGGGCTGCAACATTGGAGTGCAGCTATTCGCGTATTATGCTATCTGACGACTACGTGCCAAACCGGGATCGTCAAATGAGGCAGTGGGGGCGTTAAAGTCAAAGCTTACTCGGATGCAGATTGGGGTAGCAACAACGACGACTGACGTTCCGTTTCAGGAGTGATGATAAGTGCGCCCATAGTATTCAAGTCGAAGTACCAGCGGGCTGTTGCTCTCAGCTGAGGCTGAGGCTGAGTAAATGGTTCTCAGTCTTTGCAGGCAAAAAGTCTTTTAAACGCGAGCAATGCTAAAGGACATGGGTTATGAGCAAGCTGAAGGCACGAATGTAGGAGAAGATAATCAAGGAGCAATCGCATTGGCCAATAACGCCGGAAACCATGGGAGGACGAAATATGTGGATGTTGAGCACCTTTTCATTCGTGAGAACGTGCAAGAAGGACGATTGAAGATCGACTATATAAACACGAAGTATCAGCCTGTAGATATGCAGCCGAAAGCACTCGGAGCCAAGATGCTGCAGTATTTGCGTGAAGCTTCCGGAAGCAAGACCAAGTCAGAAACCAGGCATAAATAACAGTAGCAGTGAGTGGGAGTGCTAAGGTTGCACCACTTAATGGCCCGATACGGCGGTTATGTGACCGCAGTTTCAGTTCATACAACGGTTCAAGCACGTCGGTTACGACTATTAGTTAAGGAGGTAATTGCTGATATGATAAGAGTCGATCATTGGTCAAGATATATGGTAGTTGGAGAAGCTTCTGGAAAGATCTAGTTGGATAGGCCTAGAGGTAGCACAGGTTAGTAAATTAAGGATTCAAATATACTTCCTTCGGTTTTTATCTTCTATTTAACAAACCTTATGCTTGTGATCCCCTTGATCAGTTTCAATCGTTGACATTTCCATATTTTTACTTAAAGGATATTGATTAACTGGTAACCCCAAAGTGATTAGTTCATTATGTTCTTGGATCTTTCTCTACGAACATTATCGTATCTCTACCAAATTACTTTCCGTAATACTATACGACTTTGTCCGTGAGACATTAAGAAACGTAGGTACCCAACAGAAAACCCTATCACCATGTAATATCCTTGTCCTGGAAAGATCTTAGCCCTCAGTCATGAAAAGGATCCACCACACCTTGCCACCAGGCTAATATGAGTTCGTTTTCCATTTTTACGGCGCAATTTCAACACTCCTATTTGCCGTTGTGTTCATTGTTTCCTTGGCGTGAAAACCTTTTGCCTCAGGAATAAACGCAAGATGCTTGGTTCTGTTTGCCTTCGTCAGCATATCTGCAAGCCGATGCTTTGTATCGATAGAGTAAATGTCCAAATTTATTCTCGCACGTTCTCACAGATGAATTGGTGCTGAATACCCACGTGATTCGTCCAACCATGTTATCCGGCCTATTTTGCTATGACGATCGCTTCTAAATTGTATTTCCCAAACTGTTTGCCGTTCACTTGTTCGTGCCCATCTGGTTTTGTGCATCGCGCGCGTTTACTACCTTTTTGAGTGCAAAGCCGAGACACAAAAAGTTAACCTTTACCGAGCTGGGTGCAAACGTTCGCTAGTACTTTGACTTGAAAATCACTGGCGCGCATATAATCATGATCACATCATGTGGCGACCGCCTTGGTAGATGATACCGATTAGGCGTGCACACTTTAATATGTGTAATACGCGAATTGCTGTATTCCATCGTTGCAGCTCTGGTTTCTTCAGTAAAAGTGACAAATTTGTTATCACATATCCCACATTCAATTAAATATATGTCGTTATGTAAAGCAAAAATTTAATCAAAGCAAGAAAAGTCTTCGAGCGCATCGCCAAACAGTCCTCTTCCGCTGTAAAAGTTTGTGTTGATGACGAATTCAATTCTATTGCTCACACTTTGACCATACAATTGGTATCTTACTGACTAAATTATCCAACGATGTAGCAAGTCTGCTAGATTATTAAGTTTACTGGCTGACATGTCGTGACAATTTCCATGCCCAAATTATCTCCATTTCGTCCATCTCCTTTATTTTAAATGCATTTTTAGCACTTTCTCGACATGATTGATCTCCCTGTTTGTTTTTGCTACGATAATTATATCATCTGCATGTAATCAAATGTGGATAATTCATTCGAGAGATTGCTTGACACAAATGCATTGATCCCTTCCACAGCTCTTGAAGCCGTTTTTGCCAAAGACACAATGTATTAGGCACTTGCTGGGTGTTGGGACCCGATTCTAGTCGTTTCAGTTGGCTTACTTATCCCTGATCATTGTTGACACGCATGGGAACTTCCATATAATGCAGTCTGTCAAAGCACTGCTGAGAATAGCAGTATCGACACTCAGCTATTCAATTTGATAGTCACATACGGCTCATATTGGAAGCATCGTCAGCAATGAATTTCATGTTGGCAACGGGGAATAAGTGCAGCAGGGCTGCCAAAGCTCTTTGTTTAGAGGAAGCTAACCTAAGATCACCCACTATATGTTCTTCTACAAAAACTGCTACGTCCAGAGTACTTTAAAACCTCAACCAAAGTAGAAACGCCCTTCCGTTCAAAATTGAAATCATATTTATTTTTTTATTTGCGGCAGAGCCACCCATATCTAAAATCTTAGGTCTCCTAACTAAACAGAAAAACCACATTGATATGCTGTATAATGAAGCCTTACTTTCAACCTTACACGTCTTTCTTCTCTTCTCTTCTCTTGCAACTAATTTTGAAACGTTTTGACTATTTGTGATTTTGCGCACGAATCTGAGATAGAATAGTGCATTTCAACTGAGTTGTCGTTATGTCACAGTACAAAAATTGCTGACAAGATCACAAAGCGGCAGGGTTCGTTGTGGGGGGCTTTTCTCTTTCTTTGGTTCTCGTCCTATTGAGATCGGATTTGGAGATTACTCAAGGTATAAAGTCTAACAAAACATCATGCATGGGGCAACAGCTCATTAGCCAAGTCGATCATGCATTTTGTTATGGTCGTGGTTGTTGAGCAATAATATTTTTAGACAACCTAACTTATAATATTCTCAGTAAATAGCTTGAAGCGCTTCAATTATGCGTACCTATCTGACCAAGACAAAAGTTCGTATCAAGCAAAACTTTGGTAGGCGTTGTCTCTGCTAGTGTCTTCATTCTTCACATTCATATATGGCGACTACATTGGCTTTTATTGCAGATCAACCCAAAACTTCTTAATCACCTGTCGCTGCTACAGCTTGTGTCGGAAAATGTGTCGCAGGTCACGTCCAGGTTTCCATACAACCACTTCATTTGTTTAACTCCAGCCACAGCAACCAACTCTTTCTGACCAACAAGTTGTTGTATACCTCACTTGCTCTCGACTTCCATGTAGCCCTTCAGCAGTTACCGATACTTTTCGTAGTGTAGTGCGGGAACGGGGTTGCTGAGTGCGGAGCTCTCGCGAGATCAGCAGGTTATCCGCACAAGAACCTCACCGCCGCCGTAATATCAAGCCGTCCGGCGAGCTAGTCGCCAAGTGGAAGTATGGCTTCAACACGGCAACTTTCGCGTTCGCGCCTTTGGCACACCGCTGCTCACACAGCGCTTATCACATACATCCTTGTACAGCGTGCAAACGACTCGAGCTATGGTAAACCTAAGTTCCCGGTATCCTGGTCACAAACTGGTTGCAGTTGTAATGCCGATTACGACAGCTTGACTGTGACCGCTGAAGGTAATACCGCGACTGAAAAACACACTACTAACTTTAACTAAGACACTTTGTGATTCATTTCTTAAGGCGCTACGTCGACTGGCAGATACACCATCAATACAAATCAAACTAGTACGTATGACACTTCGTAGACCACACGCCTTAATCTTGTGGCCTCTTTAGGTGTAGCAGTGAAATCAAGTAGACCGGTGACTATCGGACATAAAGATCTCTTAGAGTCAGAGCAAGTGAACCTTACGAGGTGTGTATGTATCGATCACATTTCTGATCACACACATCCCAACAATTTGGATGCACTCGAGAGTCCTTATATAATTTTTGTGCTGCGTTACGCTGAAAAAAGGTGATACGTGTGTGTACGATAATCACTTTGTCATCTGTCGAAATGTTCTTGACTGCACGCATGAAAGCCACGAAAACATCTGCTATAGGCGGGTGAACTACATCGCTATAGAGTTTATAAGTCAAATTCGATTGATCGATATTTCATGTATGCCGTGGAGGTTGAACAGGGGGTGATTGAAACTTGAATTTTGCGTCAGCAAACGCGTAGCGGTTGTGTTCATGTGCTCCTACCAGAAGTGGGACCGCTTGCCTCGACCTTAATCAGGTGTTTTGATAGCTTTGCAATTTCAAGAGCACATATTTACTTAGAAGCTCCTTCATGCAATAAATTCTGCTCCAAAGCAGCGACGCGGTTCTGAACTGTGACGGG